TCATGTTTTCTTATTGTTTTTGTGAATATTTTTTTTTTTCATTCTCATTTTCTTATGTGCACTCATATATTATTATTATTGTTATTAGTGATTGCTACAAACATACTTACATTGTAACAAAAAAAAAAAACAAAAAAATGTAAAAGAAAATACAAAAAATCTGTTGTGTATTGTGTGTATGGTAGAAAACAATAATAACAAAAACAGAAATTATGTGTATATGAAAAAAAAAACGCGAATTCAATCAAGGACGTGTATAATAATCAAACGACCTTGAGTAGTTATGCTACACATACAAAAAAAAAAAAAAACAAAACTTTAAAAACAACACCAGATTAATTTTTTTTTTTTGTTTAGTTTTATTTTGAGATGCGAGTTAATCGCGTTTAATGTTTCAATTTTTATTATTATTTTTTGTGGTATTTTTTTATTGTTATTATTTTTTTTATTATTTTTACATATACGTAATTTTGGTATCATAATAATCTATTTTGATTTCTTTTTAATTTACGCGAGATTTTAAAAGTACTTACATTAAGAAATTTAATTTTAAATTTTCCTCGATACAAAAAAAATTTATCCTCATTATCAATAGGACAAAGTAAAATGCTACTAACATTAATATTATTCCAAATAGATTTTCGCAATTCGATTTGCTACCATATGTTCTTCGAAACCTGTACACCGTAATAGTAGCACTTCTTCCGTGTCCTAACTCCTTTGCAACAATTTCTGACAGAAAGCACATCGATTATCTTATTTCATAATATTAGAAATGCGCTTATTAAAAAATTTACATTACGCACATTGACGTGCATGTCAGTAATCTACATCTAAAATCTTAGTACTTATAAGAAACAGGGAAATTCCATTAAAAATATCTTCATGTATAAATTGTTGCAAAACGAGGCTATTTGATTTGTACTATTCAAAATTTGTCAGATTAATGTAGAGCCAAGGTTAATAATAAAACTAATATTTCTATTCTGTGGGATGTTTTTTTTTTTGATTATCTCGCAATACAATGGCAATAAGTTTAAAAAAATATTAAAAAGTAACGATACGTTTAAAGTTTCGCAAAAAGAAGCTAAATAAAGTTAAATTATGATTACAACATATTGGCGAATATTATTCTCCTCAAATTTGAAATTCTTACTCCATTTTACAAAAAAAATATTTTGTCAAATGCATACGCATAATTTACAAAAAATTCTACATAAAAGTTTTGGAGAAAACAAAACATCAGAATTATTTTTTGCCAAGATTGTCAAATTCATGCATCACCCTGAACAATGCAAAAAAAAAAAAACAAATTTTTTTTTTTAGTATCCCGAATAATTTCACGAAATAACCTCGAAAACCCAAAAGTACAATAAAAAAAATAAATAAATTTAGGTTAAATGGTGTTTTTTCTTTTTATTTTTGAAGGCAATTTTTGTTTTCGTTTCTCTCTTTTTACCCCCCTATCTGAAATTATTGAAAGCACAACATTTTCATGATAGGAAATGAATTTATGACATATAATATTTTATTGCAGACACAATTTTTTAATAATAATAAAAAAAAAGAGAAGGAAAAACAAAAATTCTTTTTCTGAAATATTTTATTACCCATCATAATCTTAGTTGTCTCCAATTTTGGAGGTGACCCAATTTTTTTTTTTTTCTGTTGGATATTTTCATTTTTATTCTTATATTTCTTAATTTCAATTTTTTTGGTTTGCTAAAAATTGGTCTCCTTTTTATACTATATGACCTCGCATTTATTTTATGTACTCACGAATATTAATCGAAAATAAATAATTTTGGTGCAGGGAGTTGAGTTCCATAAATATTAATGTGTACTTTTTTCTACGAAAAACAAAATATCCTTTACAAATTAAAAACTTTACTTTCTTGAGGTTGTTATTGGAAGTTTCAAGTAAGTGAGCTCGTATAAACTCTAAGAGTATAACAAAACAGTGCAGAACATAGTAGATGTTCTTTTTTTTATAATAATTTTAAAAACTAAGCAGAGAAAATATTCAACAACAATTTTACAAAATGAGTTGATAATTTTCGAAATTTACAACTTCTCTAAAAATATATTTTAAACTGAAGAAAAAATTTCCTTTAAATTGAAAGACACTTTAGTTCTACTAATATATGCGCATCATATATATTTCGTGCGTGAAATACACGATTTTCTTCCTCAAATACACAAATTTTTTTACATGACAGGAGTAGTAAACAGCAATTGGGAGTGAGAATCTTGTAAAACAAACGATATTTTGTATGGAAATTGTGTTATATAGAAAGATAAATTTACCTACAAATTTAAATAATAAACAATTTGACATTTCGCATATAAAATTGTTATACGGCCACCTATCAAGTAAGTGTGCGCAACTATTATGTTAAACTTCTTTGTAACATATAAGCTACCAGAACCTAATGTCATTTGAATATTTTTACTAGCGCCATCTTTTTCATAGCCAAAAAACAATAATTTTTTATTATTTTTAAATAAAGGAAGAAAGGGGGTGGTGAACATAAATAAAAATTGAGATATAATAAATATATAGCAATTTTTTTCGAATTTTATACATGTACACACAACCATACCTGCAAATAATGCATATATATGTATAGTTTTTTGAATCAAAAAATATAAGAGTTATAATTCTTTTAAATTTATTTCAACAATCGAAAAGTAATTTTATTTTTACCCCTTTTTTTTTTTATTCATATATATTTTTCGTCCATTTTGTAGATCAATATTGTCAAAACGGAATGAAATTATCCAGGTAATTTATTTATTAATTCTTATTTTGGGATTTCAGTTTTATACACAAAATAAAAAAAAAACTATACATATATGCAATAAACATACAGGTATGTAGAGTATGCACTAAAACAAAAAAACAGAACAAGATCATATCATGAAAATATAACGGTTTTATTTTTCGCCGACAAACATTAATTGGATATTAAATTGGCACGTGGAAATTTATATACGAAAGTGCATGTACAAAAACACTCACACTAACAAGATTTTCATGTTGGTTTGAATGTAGAAACAGCTTGTGCCCTAGATATTACGAACTTTTACGTAGCATGTACGTATGTCCATAATGTATGTATATATATGTATGTAGTTATGTTAACATCGCATGTAATTATATAAAAGGAAATTATTTTTTAATTACAGAATGAATTTTCGAAAATAAAAATTTCAGAAGAATATTTTACGAAATTATTTAGAATTTTATAAGAAAACAAAAAAGTAATAAAAAAATTGTGCACAGAAAATAATCATTGCCAGAAAAATTACGGAAAGAAACAATAAATTTTATTTTGAAAATGTTAAAAAAAAATGGCTTTTCATAATAAATTTTTTTTTTTTTCGCGAAAATGGGATCGGCGATTTAAAATGAAGATCTGTAAGTACAAAATAAAATAAAAATGAGAATCGATGAAGGCTTTGGTTTTTTTTTCCTTTCCTACTAAAGAACTTGGCAATTATTGGGATGAAGAGAAGCACAATGGTTTTTTTTTTTGGATTCAAAAAACTTAAAAATGTCGAAGGCAATTATTGTAAATGGAATGTTTTGTTTTTTTATGAAAATGCAATTCACAAAATAAAAATTTTTTAATTAAAATCTGAAATATTGTACACCTGATATAAGTTGGGAACGAGAATCGATTGCAAAACATTTTCCATTATTCCAGAACAGAATTGACCGTTCGACAAACAGAACTGAAATTATAAAAATTTCGGAAGAATATATTTTTTTTTTTAAATAAAAATTTTTTGAAAATTATGCATTATTCGTTTTTGATTTAACGTGCGATCGGACGGACGGACATATCCAAATCAATGTAAAATTTTAAGCTGAGTAAGAATATATATGCATGTCTACACCAAAGGCGACTTCTTCAAGTGGTGAAAAACGTCAAGTTCTTACAGAACGTACGAGTATACTTTACATTTTTCTGTATAAAAATGTAAGATATACGTTCAGTATGTTATATGCAAATATAAATATCAAAGAAATCGGTGAATGCCCTCAAGTCCTCATGCGTTTTTAAACACATTTTTATAAACAATAATGACATTACAACATCTGTGCGTCAATATGGCTTCAATTTAGGATTTAAGTAATTTCTTTCTCAAAAAGTTTCGTTTTCGTATATTGTAACCAATGAAATGAATATCACATCTTCATTTCTTTTAACTGTGATATTAACAATTTCTTCAACTTCATCTGCCAAATGAAAAAACTATTCTGATATGTTAAATTACACTTAATTATTCTTAATTATTGCTTGCATTTTGGCAACGATTTTTGAAAATATTTATTGCATAGTTACAATTTTATCCTATTTCCTCGTATCGTATTTCCTTCTGCAATATATTTTTATAAAAGAAATTTTGTATACTAATTTATACAATAAGATCAACACATTAAAATTTAACTTAATCTGTACAAGATGCAAATTTTCCTTTATATTCAAAATACTTGAAATTTTGATTGAATTTTGATTCATTTGCAAATTTTTTGTAAAAAATTTTTATGTCAAAATTATTCATAAATCGAACAGATTTATATGTAATCAAAAGTTTGTTTTACATTTTTTATTTCTAACAACAATAAATAACAATAAATTTTAATCAGATATTCAAAAATTTGAGACACTTTCTTTCGCATAAATCATTTGGTTCACCACTTCTCGGATTTTCTATTTTAATTGTTTAAAATTAGTAACCAAAAAAAAATGATACCAAAATTTCAAAAGAAAAACAAACAAATACCAATAAACTAAATTAAATTTATAACATTGTTAAAATAATAAATAAAATTGTAAATGAAAGCTGTAAAATAATATAAAAAAGCAAAAATATGCTATAATAAACTTATAAATTATGATTTTTTTACCATATTCAAATAAAAGAAACGAAATGAAATATAATCTTATTGAGGCTCTTAAAATAAAACAACAATAACATACCATAATATGATCGAATCGAATCGGATCATCATTTTAATCATCATCATGTCTACAAGATTGGCAATTTTATTTTCATCAAATCCGATAATAAATCATTCCCAAATCAATAAAACAAAAAAATGTTTCTTTTTACCTGCAATAAAAATAAAAAATTATAATTTAATATTTTGCAAATTAAAATATAATAAAAAAAAAAATTTTTATATATTTTATTTTGTTAACACTTATGAGAATTTAACAACTGCTATCATTTTAAAAATGAACAAAAAATAAAATTAAAAATCCAATCGGTTCCAATCGAAAAATCTCAATTTTTTTTTTTATAACCCAATTTATTGAACACAAATGTAAATGCAATTTGAGAGAGAGAATTTAATAGGGTAGTCAACCTTAATCAATTTTTTTTTCTCTTTTTGTATTTTTTATTTGGAATCACTTGACTTAACCATATTTTTCAATATTAATAGTTTTATGTTCACATATCGAATTTTTATTATTGTTTTTATTAGAAAATTTTTAATATTATTTAAAAAAAAATTTTTTTTATCTATACATACATACAAATATTGTGCATATATCGTAAATTTTCATATATATTACATTATTGTGAATAAAATTAACCCACACATTTTAATTTTGTATATTTTGTAAACTAAAAATTAATAATAAAATCTATATACAGTGGCATTTCAAACAACATTATTATTATACATACTTATATATCTCAGTTGAAATATCAGTAATTCTAGTAAATAAAAACAGTTATAATATCATCGGCCAATAATTTTCAATCTTAATATAATGAACAAGAACACAAGAAAACAAACGAAATTGAAAAAAAAAAACATAAAATTGAAACATAAAATTGTTTTCAAATTGAAATTTGAATATTTGCTTGGTATGACAACTCGTGTTCTATATTTGCTAGTCTTGCCGATTATACTGATAAAAATGTTTTTAATAAAAGTAGATTTGAATAAGTTTTAATAATTTTAAACGATTATGTGAACTTAAAATGAATTCTGCAACTCAAGATAGGGACCCCTAAAGTTATGCAAAAATATTTTTATACCACATATAGCGCTGCCGTAACAGAAAATATAGCAATTAATAGGAAACAAATTTACCCATAAAATGCATATAATTTTTATAATTTTTTATAATTTCTTAAAACACACACTATCACATTTTAAGTTTTCCATAAGCAAAAACTTGCTGTTCGTTTATCATTTTAGTGAACTAACACTGTTAATAGTTATTATCTAAAGGCAAGATATAAAATTAGTTAGAACTTTTCAAATTTTTCATGTAATTCAACGTTTCAAAAATTAAATAATAAAATTTATATAGAAATAAAAGAGTAACAAATTGTTTCTACTCATATTTATAATACAAAACTTTAAATATTTTAATTTAATTCATAGTACCGGTAACACTATTTTCCTAAATGTCAATAATATTATAATGTTCGCATATCATCAATATTAATTCAAACACAAAAATAAAAAGAAAATTACAACAACGTAACATTAATGTACTTTACTTTGATCTATACAAAATCGATAAATAATGTTCAACTGATATTCTAGCAAAATAATAAAAATGTACACCTATACATACATATAATAAAATTAAAAATCAAAAAATTGACTAACAAATACAATAATTGGAACCCCACTGTGACCTCCCTGCTATTACCTATATGTACCTAATATAAAGTATATAAGAATAAAAACTTCAAAATGTATGACATGCGAAACGATAATTTGACGATTATAAAAATTTTTAAATTTTTCAATTAAGAATAAAGAAAACTATTCCAATTTCAATCAGGTGCTGCCCAGATAAACGTCAGATATAATTTTTTATCAGATTCTCCCAATAAAATTTATTCAGCAGCAATAATATATAATTTTCAAAATTTTATTTTTTGCAAAAATATACGCAATTATTATAAGTTGCTAATTGAATTTCTATGTATTGCGTATTTCAAAATTTTTTTTTTAATTTTATATTATAAATTAAACAAAAAAAACATTAAAAGTATTTACCACTTCATAATAACAATCAGAAGAATTTAATTTGCGGATATCAAAAATGAATACAAGGACAGTTTTCAGTAGAGGAAAATAATAAATGTGGAATCATCATAATTTTGATTTAAAAATAATTCTAACCACATAGCCTAACACATGATATAGTGACAGAGCAACAGTAATACGCACCTTTTTCATTGATAAATAAATTTTGTAAAACCATTGAAATAGCTTTAACCCTAATGTTATTATTATGTTGTTATCTTCAAAATTAATTCATAACTAGAATCGATTTCATTTTAAATTGCTCACACAACACTACAGCAAGATAGATCACAGCAGACAAAATGTTTGACACAAAAGTTCACAAAATTTTCCCTTTCGAACTGAACTTCATTCAGTATTTTAAGCAGTCCTGAAATTTTCAAAAATTAGCAGCTATGCGCGTGTTGCTAATTTTAAGTGTTGCTAAATTTAATTCAACTATGCGTGTTGCTAAGCTTAATTTTGGAGTGATTTTATAGGCTTTAGTGCTACACTTTTAATTGTTAGATTGATCTCATAATTATTGCACTTTTTTCAATTAATCGGATCATGCTATTCAGCAACATGTCAATTGGACATCAAAACAATATTTAACAAAATTTTACAGACCAATTCATTACCCGAAGAAAATATCAAAGAAACAGAAGGGTTAATAAATTTTAAAGAAATAAAAAAAAATAATATTTTATATGCACCATCGGTTAGTGTATAACAAAATTCAATTGAATTCATTTTTCTTTTTCAATGATTGTATCCATTTCAAAAGCATTTTTATGTACATATATGATTTGATGAGCCTTTGGCAATTTGATAATGTTCAACGAATCCTATTTTAGTTTATATCCAAATAATTGAAATTAAAAATATTATTAATTTCAAGAGTTTCTGTTCATTATAACTGCACCTTACTAACTAACTTACACATCTTAATTATAATTTATTAAACATTAATGATTATGTGAATTCGTAAGGATGAAATTTAATTTTTAAATTAATTATTATAACACTATTTCCAATACACCAATATTAAATAAGTAACTATGATTTACAGCACGGTACATGTAAATTTCAAATTTAAAATTGAATTTGAAATTTATTAATATGCATAAGCATAGTGTGTGTGTCTGTGTTAACATGTTATATTAAACTTTTAACCATAATTTTTACTTACAAATTTACCAATATATCCGAAACATAACTTCAATATTGCAATGAATTGCATATGAAAAGAACAAAAAGTAAAATTTAAAAAATAATTTCTATTGTACGGCAAAGATCATTTAAAAATGGAGTTTTTTTTTTCGTGCACATCTCTAAAAAAAACTTTGCAAAAAATGTGCCTAATCATCCCACTCAGTCTATGCGTCTGTCTTATTTCTGTAAAAGTCTCACGTAGTTTTTCCTTTCCTACTAAATACTTTTTGATTTTAGCAAAATACCAATTTTCGGCCACGCATTTCTTCAAAACTATAAGCTTTACCGAACTTCCGTCAAAATAAAAATTTAACAGTAATCGTCCTGCGTCCTTTCACCTAAAAATGATATATAATATTTCACAATAAAGTACCTATATACAATTTTAAAATATTATAATAAAATATTTGAAAAATTTATTCTAAGATTTCTCCTAAATGTATGCAAAATTATATGCCAATAAGGGAGTTACATAAATGAATCGGTTTTAATTCACCAACAAAGATTTGTAAATGCAAACTCTAGATTTAAATTGTTTAAAGCATAAAGTGTGCAGATTTTACAAGCAACTGGTTTCATTGATTACATTTTTTTTAACAATTCTCTGTTCACATATTGAATAAAACAGAAAAATCAAATTTAATACATAATATCGATTTAAAAACGGTATAATACTATAATAGCAAAGTGGATACCAGTCATAGATTTTTTTGTTTAATTACAAAATAACAACCAATACCGAAAGTTTTTCTCAAAACGTTTATGTATTTACATATATACTTTAATGTATGTGTATATTGTGTATCACATGCGGTATAAGTCAAAAATCTTAAATTTTCAGTTAATAATAAGAATATGTTATATACTATTATATTAATTTAACTATTGTAAACAGTATTTGAAGTTAAAATATTTAATCACACATTCGGACCGAACTACAAAAAATTTGAAAATTTACATATATCTACTTCAAAGTTATACTCGTATATAAATTCTGGATATATTCGGAATAATTTCGGAAAATTAAATTAGGATTGATATAAATCCGAATTCGGAAGATTAAATTCGGATTAATATAAATCTGTTTAGAGAATTTTAATATCGACACGGAAACTCTAAAAGAAAATAGAGCAGTTTTTGATGGTATACGTTCCATAATCGCATAAATTTGTTTCGAATTTTAGAAAATTATTTTTTTTACTGAGTCAGGGTAGACTCTTCAATAGATCGGATCTATTAGACTCTTCAATCAATTTCTCTTCTTTTTGAAAACTATTATAATTTTTCGAAATATGTATGTCAGTTTGGAAACACGTATGCCACATCTATAACTATCATAAGAGTAAAATTTTATAAAAAAAAAAAAATATGGAAAATATAAAAATTATGCAAAATGTCAGATAAAATTCAATTAAAAACAAATATTTTATTTATGTTTTAACAAAATAAATAAATAAATATCGTCTTTTTTTCTTATTTTTTATATAAATAATTCCAATATTCATAAACATTATTGTACCTACACACATGGTATGTCTATATAAATTTTATTACTGAATTTATTTGTAGGAAAAAAAAATTATACAAGTTAATTAAGCCTCCAAGTTTTATTCAATTTATGGAAAGATTTTTTCTTTCCTTTGTTTTAACAAAAAAAAAAAAATGTACGGAAAATGTAGTTTCCATTTAATTTTTTTTTTTCATTTTCCGAAGCATAATGCTTACAGTATACACAACAAATTGTACTGGAAAGAAGCAATTTTGCATATTAATACAATGGTGGTAAAATAATTGTATACACAATTAAAATTAAAAAATTAAAATTAAAAAATTTGTTACACAAATTTTCTGTGAAAAA